ATACTGAGAGAAAAGAAGTAGAGACACAGGGAAAGAGAAACAGAATACTAAGAAAAAGTAACCCTAGAAACTACCACCATGGGATCAACATAAATAGATTACCAAGGTAATGGTAACTAATGTACAGCCAGCAACATCTGGTGCATACACATTAGAAATTAAGTCTTGCTGTTCTTAGTAAAAAAAAAAGAGTGAATAATAATTTGAAAAATATAGTAAGCCTATATATTTTTTATTTAGTTTTTGATTGATCTATCTATTTGCTCTGTGAAATGCAAAAAAACCCCAAAAAGGACAAGTAGAACTCTGCCATCTGAAATGAAAACAACTTTTTGTCTGGCCCATGAGCTAGTTAATATATATGTATATATATGTATTATTTACGTCCAATAAAAGTGCTGTTTTTGTCACTGACAGGTTCAGATTGTTCTTATAAGTGACAACATTATAGAAAGGGTCCTTACATCGCCATCACCAAAAACACCAGACTCCATTTAATAATCATTACTTTTAGCATGTATAGAGCCAGCATACTTGTTACATGTAAATGGATGATTTTAGGGTTTATTTCAACCAAACCAGAGTGGTGGTTGTTGGAACAATGGAATGACAACTAAGATGGTTTGTGAAGGTTTTATCTTGTTTCTGTCGACTTTAAATGAAGTGTGTTTTATGATGATAAAATTGCAGTTAATTTGAATGGAGTCTGGTGGGTTTGGCGATCTCAGGGATGTTTCATGTTAAAACAAAAAGGATCTTACTCTTTAACAAAAGGTCAACGGCTGCAGGGATCCTTTCCATAATGTTGTCAGACACTAAGAATAATTATCTGAGCATGTCAGTGGCAAAACAAGCACATGTTTTGGATGTAAATTGAAGGTGTGCAGCTGCCTATTAATGTTACATTTTAGTTTCTTTCATGCAGCAGTCTCTTGGACCAATTTCAAATGTCCAGGTTGTCCAACAAAGTTAAGTTACTGTAAGACATTATTCAAGCTGCTCTAAAAATCCAACTGCCTATGTTAGCTTACACTACATGCCTTATTTTATAGCTGCATGCATAACTATTTTATTGGCACTTGCAGAGTTTCAATTACACATGAAGCAACTAAAGCCACCTACCTACCAGCTTAAGCTTTGCATGGCACAGAAGTAACATTTAGCCACATGGTAACAGTAACTTACTCCAGCTTCCAGTATAAATCCACTATAACAAATTTATCTTTAAATTACACATAAAGCCTCGTTTTTGTGCTATTATAAAACTGTAAAGACTGTAGTAACATGTCCACATCTTCCTCGTTTGAATGCAAGGGGTTTCCAGACCAACAGAACAGGAAGGGAAGTTGGATTCTGTGTGTGTGTGTGTGGCTGTGATTACTTCATACATTTTGTAAAGACAAAATGCACAGTGTCACAAATGCATATTAATTCAAAACTAGATATATTTATGTAAAGATACAAACATAACATTTTATTGTTAATATCAAATATTTAATTACATTACAAATTAGGAATTTGGTGCAGTCTTAAATAAGTTTTGATAAAGAGGGATCCCTAATCTGACTTCACTCCAGGCCATAGTACAGGAGGACAAACTTCTGTTTGGGTGGAGCTCATAAATATTTTACAAGCCTATAATAAATGTCTTTTGGGATATTGCAGTCATTAATGTTAATAAACATCTTATTAAGGTTCTTTAGGTATATATAACTTGTTGACAAGTTTCTAGTAAGTGCTCATACAGATGCTAATAAGAAATAAGAAATGTGTTCATTCATATTTTGAGAAAACAGTCTTATCAATGTTAATAAAGATGTATTTTATAAGCTGCGTTAACATTAAGATTTTATTTATAAGTTCACTACAAGTTTCTTACAAGGAAATAACAACTCTGTTACGTTCTCAATAACCAACACATATAAAGTCTAATTAACGTTAATAAACATCTTATTAATGTTAAAGACAGGTATATAAACCATCAACAAGTTTCCAATAAGAGCATAAGGGTCTTATAAGCAATTATAAATTAGTTAATTGTGCTTTAGTTAACATTTATTTGTATTTATAAGCATCTTATGAGGTTTTTTTAAGTGTTATTATTTTTTAATTACTGCTTATTAACTGATAATAACTGCTTATTACAAGCACCTTAAAATGAAGTGTTACTGATTGTTCTGCATGTTGTTCCAGGTTAGGAAAAAATGGATTTTCCAAGCTCACTGAAAACAGCCAGCAGCTCAAATAATATGACCGTGTTTGAAAACGGCCCACATTAAGAGACAGCAATGAAGTAATGTAAGGGGGTAAATACTTAATTATTATTAAATTATTATTTATAAATAAATAAAAGAAACAACATGCTATTATATAGTGTGGTCAGGCATCGGAGGACACATAAATATTATCTCAAGCGCATCTTACAACAATTCCCACATAACTGTGTACACGTTGACATTGTTATAACTGAGTTATTGGTCAGTGTAATGATTCCCCCATCCATGGTTGCAGAGAAGTGAAATCTCTAAAAGCAGTGTAACTTTGGAAGATATCCACTTTTGACTAGTTTAACACAAATGCTTAGCTGATACTTCATATTAGCATTAGCTAAACTTTAAAATGAATTTGTACAAAAAATGACAACTCGCCTCACAGCAAGAAGCAAACCCCGGTTGCCCCGGCCTTTCTGTGTGGAGTTTACATGTTCTCCCCGTGTCTGCGTGGGTTGTCTCCGGGTGCTCCGGCTTCCTCCCACCGTCCAAAGACATGCAGGCTAGGTTGATTGGTGCCCCTAAAATTGACGATGGATGGATGGATGGATTGAAAATAACTGTGGTGATATCTCTGCAGAAGATATAGGCATGAATAATGATTACAGTGACCAATAACTTCTTCTGTGTACAGTAAGCATGGTCATTAGAGTATTCTATTATAAAAATGTGAACCTATTCTTTAGCGTATAGACAGCATCATATTAATTGCATTTATACTCATACCAGTGATAAAGACCTTACTGGTCATCTTAACAGTACAAAAGCTGAATTGAGCGCTCACACGCATGCACAGGCCTGCCTACATTCTTTACCATCAAATTCCAGCAACAGGTAGGTAGATATGATTTGCAGTGGCAAAATGTTTAGTGGTGTTTTTGAATTATATATAAAAATAAACACCACTTAATTTCGGGTTAAAATGCTTTGTAATGGGCATTACTGAGATTGTAACTGCTATAATATTACAAACATTTTATTAGTATATATTGTTTTATTTGATTTGATTTATATCTTACCATGTTTTAATATAGGCTTGCACTTAATTAAATGTTGTGTGTGTAGCATGAAGGAACTACAAATTTCGTTTCTTTATACAGTCTTGTGCTGTTTAATACATCAACAGTATGTGTATGTAAATTTATCTATAGAATAAACTTACTTAAAAGTATTCTTAAAAATACAAAATACTACTAAAATGTTCCTAATTAAAGAACATCTCTGTACATTCTTAGGTCTAACTAAAATGAGGTCAGTGTTTGAAGTGGGCCAGTATTCATTGGTCCGTATACCAGCACTTCTATATTTTAGTCTTTGGCGTACCGGGACTTTTCTTGTGCACAGGCACTTCTCACAAGTATGAAAAGTTCCAGTGACAATACACACGCCAATATGTGAAATCAAAATTTACTTTCTTACCTCAGAATCAGTTTTTTCTCTATATATTCTGAATATGCCTTTTTCCGGACTTGATAACCACCATGCCTGATTGGGGATGAAGTAAAAGTGATCATTATACATTTTTCCGTTGGGTAAAAATTTGGGAATTGATAATCGTTTCGTATCTTTTGATTAAATAGCCTACTTTTATTTGGACTTTCAAGCTTTTGTAGCTATGTGTTATTCTCTGGATGCCCGATGGAGTCCGAAAAAACAAGCAGAGCAGAAGCTTCACAGATGCGCAGCGCAAGCGATCGACGATGAATAGAATAAACATTCTGTAAATTCCTGAAATATGGGGATGGTGTTTATAGGAAATGCACAGCCAAGGTGCTAAATGTTTCCCAAAGTGTGTGGAAAGCAACATGTAGCAGAAATAATCACAAAATCGCGGCATTTTTATAGTGGGTAAATTTTATCCGCTATGGCGGTTAGGTATAGGCTATGCAACGAACCCTGGAGGTTCTAGTGTTAAGTTGTTATTATGTCTGTGGTGTCCACCTTTGCCATGTCCGAGTCGTGACTACATTATGATTTAAAGTATGCTTATTACTATACATTGTTTGTTACATTAAAGACTCTGATCTCGCCAGGCTATTTACCTGGTTAACTAAAATTTTAATAAAAAAGAGAAGAAAAGAAAAAAAGTGTAGGCTATACAAGAAATACTCTGCTTTTGAAAAATATCTTAAAATGTTATAAAAACATGTTTTGAAAATCATACTTCTGGAAAGCAGGCATAAAACATTTGACAATTACATTAATATTTTAAATATATTGCAGTGGACAATGGAGCATAATTGGCATGAATATATTTTTAACCCACTAAAAGTGTAATTGTTTAACAATATACTTCCACAAAGTAAACCTAAGTAGTATTTACTTAGAGTGGTACAAATATATTTTTAATAAATAGACTTACATGTACTATAAGCATACTATGTGAATTTCTAGTACATTTTCAATGCCTTTAAGGGCACTTCTTTTCAACCTGGAGGGTGTGTTAAGGACAGGCTTCCCTGCCAGTTTGAGCCAATAGTGACCAGCAAACATGAGAGCAAGTAGGAGCAGGAGAGGAGGCGCCTAAAACCTGTGAGAATGAATGGGGCTCATCCATCCATCACTTTCATTGTTTAAATAGCTTGAAAAGTTCTTAGAGTTCAGAAATGGAACATATAAATTTAGAATCATCTCTGCTTTAGTTTTGTTTTGGAATGCCTAGTATATCATTTTACTGAAAAAACAAACAAACAAAGCAGCATCCTTTATTTAATGTTGTATTTTCAACAGGTCATATGTGCCAGTTAAGTCAAATATCAAAGCTAACAAGGATTTGGTGAGTATTATTTTGAAAGCATTCAACAACACATTGTATTGGCTACAAAGGCAGCGGCTCCTAGAAATAAGTGTAAAGGCTAATTCTGATTCATAACAGGTGATGGTGATCAATCCAGCTTTCATGAGGTATGTTTATGAGACGTGGCTGCAAAAGAAGGGCACTTATCCATCCACTGGCTTTATGACTTTGATTCTTGGCCTCCATATTTGTGACGAGGTGAGTTAATTATTATCCTTGTGAATGTCACTAGTGTTGCTGTATGAACAAGTGGATGCAAATTATGTTTTGACCTATAATTAAATCCTTCAATGGGTATCAGGCTGTGCCATCACAAATCGACTGAGCCCAAAGACAGGTGACATTTTTCTCTAACTCAGACCTTACTTCCCTAAAACCATCATTGAATCCAACATTCACCCTAGCAAAGAGCTCTGCTGCTTAATCAGACCTGCATTGGCTAACCCAGACTCGTGGCCCGACTGGCTTGATAGACAGTTCAGTTTGAATGCTGTGGCCCACTCAGTAGTCCCGCTGCCAGTACTGCTCATGTAGTGTGATTACAAAATTAACATCTTGAAAGTTGTGGCACTTGTTGCAAAGGCAGTGTTTCATTATGTACATACATTATGTAATTCTGTTAGTTAATAGATGTTTTTGTTGTTATTTTTCTTATCCAACAGGTCCGTGTGTTCGGTTATGGAGCAGACAAAAATGGAAGCTGGAATCATTACTGGGAAAAACTCAAAGACACAAAGTTTAAAACCGGAAAACATCCTGGAAGTCATGAGTATGGAATTATCGAGGAGCTAGCTGAGCAACAAAAGATCGAGTTTTTTACAGGGAGGAGATCTTTCTCTTAGCATTTAAACTATTCATAAACATAGCAAATAATTTATCATGCAAAACAAGAATGAGAAGACTAACTGCCTTGTTGCACACATTAAAGAGTTAACTGTGAGTGGCTAACCTATTACTACTGAGGGAAAAGTACAGAACTAAAAAATGTTTAATGAATGTGAATGATCCTGTTGTATGGGGGACCAATTCTGACAAGGGAAATAAATAGAGAAATAAATAAATGCTCATTAAATAAATAAGCATCCGATTAAAAAATAAAGTACATAAATAAATGAAGGCAGTAATTAAATTATACAATGAGACAAATGTATATATCTCTTTTCATTAGCTTCTTCATTTATTCATTCATTTTAATCTTCTGTATCTATATAGTTCACCCCATGAGTCACAGCCCCTCCTCATTTATATAATGACACAAATGCATAGAGAAATGCAAAAATGGATGAAGAGGATTAAGAATGGCAAGAAATTATGAGATTCAAATAAGAATACCACATCTTTCTGTGCAACTGATGAAAGAGTTTAAAATGAGGCCTTTTAAGCTGTGATTACACATGTTTAAACATAGAGGGGGCTGTTATACTTTTTGTAATAAGTGGAAGTCAAGACGTCATCGCTCCACTGATGTGGGCAGTGAAGTCATGGTACAATAGTCTACCCTTGCAGGTTTAATTTCAACTCACCATTAAACAGTAACTTATTGTCAGCCAACTTCTTTCCCACAGTGTATCCATTGACACACAGATACAGGAAGTTAAGACATGTTTAATTTGCATGGATTGGATATTGCTTTTGATGCAAAATCAATTACAGAACATGGCATAAAAAAAACAGACAAACAGTTGTTGGACACTAACTCTCAGTCAGGTGCCATTGAGCCATTGCAGAAGAACAGGCTGGAACATATCATACATGAATGCGTGTGTGCATACAAAAGAATGTACACATAATCTCATTCACACATATACGGAAGTTTACAGGGACACATCCATTTGTTCTGAGCTGACTGTAAGAAAGGAGTAGGCTTCAGAAATGACATCTGAATTTTCAGATAAGAGTCTGGATGATTTTGGTAGAAGTGGCTCCAAAGTTCCTAAAACCATTACAACTCAGACAATGCTGCTTTAATACATTGAATATGGTCTTAGGCCCATGAAAGTATGGACTCAAAGTTGGACTGTCAAATAAAACGCATTTAAATCAGAATAAGATCATACTTATGACTCTGATTATTATTATTGTTGACACAATAAAGGAAAACACTATATTTGAACAGCTCCGGAGGCAATACAACCTTTAAAAAAAAAAAATATTATTTTCTTAGAATTTTCTTAGAAACGCCTTGCGACTCTAGAGAAACACAAAAAAATATGTGGTTGGTCCATGGCCTCCAGAACAACATACTGACCATACCAAAAATGGTTAAGGTTTGGTTAGGTTAGGCACATAGACAAGGTGGTTATGGTCAGACCATGGCTGAAGTTAAAATGACCACTTGGTTAGGGTTAAGAAAACGTGGTTTGGTTTAAAATCATTAACTTCTTTAAGGTTAGAGGACATTCGTCATCATAGTTACATATTTCTCGGGATCTACCCCTAGAAAATTTTAAGCATCAAACCTGTTTTATACAGTCTATGCACATTTCACATTTCTTGCATTCTGGTGAATTTTTCTGGACCAGATGTCTGCCTTTTCTGCATCAGTGTATGGTGGAAACGTCAATTTATGTAAAGGGAAACAAGACATTTAGAGGAGACATGCCACTCAATCACATTCTCAATACAACTTTACAGGCTTTCCCTTATGGTGGAGTTGGTGCAAGAAAGTCAAACGTCTGCTTTTAACAGCCAAGCGGGAAACATATTTCAGCCAATAGTGTGGTTCCACTGATGTAAGGGTCTGTTTTACTTCTACTGCATGCGTAGTAGAAGTAGAACCGGTCGGGAAAAATGCTTTTTAAACCTTATTTTGGGGTAAAGTTTTATCAGATTTAAATGCTGATTCTATTCATGTAGTTTTTATGTCCCAGTGACCAGTGAAAGTGTATATCTGGCTCTCTCCCCATTCATTTAGATAGGAGCCTGGTCTTGTTAGTCCGAAATAGCTGCCCAGAGGCATTGCCAAGATGGGGGCCGAGTGGCATGACTTGCCTAAAAGGACTTTGGTTTAGCCCATAATCACTAGGCTATATAATCATGCACCTTAGAGACTTTCCCGTGGATTGGTGGTATTCAGAAGAAAACACCAGATTTTTTGGCCCGATTTTTGTTCTTATAAATCTGATACAGTTTTATTAATTATCGGTTTATTAACCCCCACCATGGCTCCGTATTTTTTGGCAAGGTAAAATAGTCAATCTAAATATGTGGCAATACTTAGGATAATTCAACCAAGGCTTTCAGAAAGCAGGCTTTACAAACTCTGAGATTATCCCTGAGCGATCACACAGCTTATCCCTGTGTGAGTTCTTGTTCTATGTATGTATATCTATTCAACTTCCTGTTCACATGTGGTTAAAGTCTAATCTGAAATGAGCACAATTTTATTTATTTTTTTGCTTCAAAAGTAAAACATTGGCACTTTACATTTTATGTAATACAACTTTGTTAGGTATGAATGTTCAAATGTTCAATTTATTAAGTGCTATGTTAAGCTAACCTTGAGATTTAGCCAACATTAATATACATGTCAGTTTGGGGAAAGTCGTCACATGTGACAACTTTCCTCAGTACAAATAAACACATATAACATTGTTTAGTTACCTCTGACACCAGTATTAAATGATACCCCAGGTCAAAAAGAAGTGCTCTTAAAGGCACTAAAAATATAATATAAATATACTTCTTAAAAGTATACTTTGAATAAATTGGTAATAAATATATATTTCATTAAACTTTTAATAAATATGCTTAAATAACTAACATTTTAGTCTATTTATTAAAAAATATATTTATTTAACTCTTAGTAAATACTATTTAGGTGTACTTTGTGGAAGTACATTGTTAAACAATTACACTTATAGTAGGTAAAAAATATATTTATGTCAAATATGCTTCATTGTGTAGGCTACTGCAAAATATTGTAATTTTTTATGTAAGTGCCACATGTCTCAGCCTGATTTCCAGAAGTATGATTTTTAAAACAATTTTTTTTAACATTCAAATGTATTTTTTAAGCACATTATTTGTTTTTTCCAAAAAAATAAACAATAATCACATTTCTGTTTTTTCCAACAGAATTACAACCATGTGCCTCAGTCTCTTTCAAAATTATTTGGCAGGGCAATGACATGCGTTTTCTCTTCAATCATCACACATTTTCTTTTGAAAGACTGTGCCTGCACTGCATGAATAGTGTTAGACTCACCTCATGAATGAACCTGGTATAAATTTTAAGGTCAGAGTCTCTACAAAGTTGCCTTCCAGACCTGCAAAGCTTCCTAACCAAAACACAGCTCATTTGTGCATTACAACCTACAGTGTTAAATGCCACGATACTCAGGATCTTGCATAGTGAGCCATCAGATAACTCTACAACAGAGTTGTTTCTTTTTTTAACCCTTGTGTTAGTTTCTGAGTGATAGTACACTGTCAACAAGGAAATGATCATAATACAGGCACTGTTGTACCCCGACACCAAAAAGATGCTCGATAGCAAGCATTTGCCGTACTGGAACGTTCACTGGACGAGGATTACCTAAAACCCTAACATTCTCTGACAGCAATCGGTTGTATATATATAGGGCTAGTTTTTAGACTTACATCGGACTGAGAGTGTGGAACAGTGTTGAATGGCTACCGGTGTGGGAAGTCTGGGAGAGCAGGTGCTCCTTTATAAGGAGACGGGGGAAACCCGGAACGGGAGCAGGGAAGAGTAGAGCCGACGGAAGGACGGCAGCTGCACACAAGGCGGCAAGCTAGAGAGACGCGGTGGTCACCACTTTTTTTGATTTAGTTGTTTACTTGCATGCACATTTTGGTTTGAAGTTTTATATATGATTAATTAACCCTAGCGGAACTATTGTTGGGAACTTTGTGACTGCCAAGTATCCTGTCACCTAGGTTACTGCTGACCACTATTGAGAGCAGGAACGAGCAGCGAAAGCAGAGGAAGGGAGTTGGTGGGCTGACGGACTGGAAACTGGGATTTTAAAGACCGACTACTGAGGACCGGACAGATCAACGCTTTAGTTTTTATTATGAACTCTTTTTATTATTTTTAGGCATTTTGATGAAGGGATTTTTGTGCTTTATTGTTTTCTATCTTTCTTTTTTTTTAATAAAGACACTGGCATTGGTTTTATAAACTGTACTGGTCTGAGCCTCGTGTTGTTTCGGTGCAGCCCGTTCCCCAGCAGAACCTTACCCAAATTAAGTTTTAATTGTTTCTTTTAACTAGCCGACCCACAAGCGAACAGCGGCGCGGCAGCGGTGACACTTGGCGTTGTCGGCAGGATCTGCTTGGGTTGAGCTAGCTGCTACCGTTCAACATGCTTGGTGACGAACCAGTACCAGGACCGGCCGCAGGGGCCCAAGTCCCCACAATCTGCCCCTCATTTAAAGACAGCTGCTAAAAACATAGCTACACATGTTATTACTAACTTCATGAACAGACATCAAGAGGGGTCGGGTAGAGTGGCCATGGGCCCCCCCGACCAATAAAACAACCTCCTGGGAAAAGAGGGAGTTCCCCACCAAAGAGGCGTAGCCGAACAACAAATAAGAAGACCCATACTAAGACTAGAAAAAATAAACAAGCAAGGAGAAGCAAGAGACATTTTCTAACGAGAATGTCGTTGGTATATAGCCTGTCACAAGAGTGCGTCAAGTCGGAGCTAGACCTGTTTATGGTGCCGTTAACACAAACGAGTATTGAGAAATGCATCTACGTCGAATTCCCTCCTCTAGGAGCGGTATCAGACTCTGCACCCCTTGAATTTTTCATTCCAGCTAGTACAGAGGACTACCTGGATCTAAACAATACATTTCTGTACACGTGCATAAAAATCACCAAAGCTAATGGCGGAAACCTGGATCAAGCAGACGAAGTGGGCTTTATTAACTACCCTGGATGTACAATATTTTCAACTCAAAATGCAATCAAACACATATCCTTACAGGGGTATAATAGAGTGCCTTTGGAACTACGGAAAGGACACCCTGCAGACACAGTTTGGATCCAGACTATTTTGCATGGATACAGCAGGTCATATGGATGACGCAACGACTGGAGGACGCAATGAGGGACTAGTTAAAAGAATGGAATACACACAAGGTGTGGAGCTAATATCCCCTTTACATTCTGACTTGTTAACTTGTAGACCTCAAGATAAAATTCATAAGAGCTAAAAACGAATTTTGCTTAATGCGCAACACTGTAGATGACTTTCGGGTTAACATTATGTCAGCAAGCCTGTTTGTAAAGAAAGTCACTGTATCTCCGGCTGTTAAGCTAGCACACGCTAAGGCATTAACGCATGGCAACGTTAAATATCCCATAGACAGAGTCTGTCTTAAAAATTTTAGCGTCCCAACGGGCACTCGCGTTTGTAATCAAGAAAATGTATTCTTAGGACAAATACCTAAATTTATTGTAGTAGGATTTGTAGATCATGAGGCATTTACAGGTAGTTATTCGCGTAATCCATTTACATTTAACCATTATGATATAGAGTTTTTATGTTTATATGTTGACAGCCAACACTCTTTCAACACAACTTTACCAGAGGGAATGCCATCAGAGTATCATCAATTGTACTCGGCAACTGGAAAGTATCTTAAAAACAACGCTATGGCCATAACCCATATATCCATAAATAATGGATATAGTCTATTCTGTTTTAACCTGAGCCCTGATGAAGGATGCGGAGACCATATGTCGCTCATTAAAAATGTTAGTGTTAGATTAGAGGCTCGTTTTAGAAATCCGCTTCAATGCACAATAAATGTGGTTATTTACGCCACATATGATTCTATAATTGAGATATCGTCAAGAAGACAGGTTCTCATTGACTTTTTCTAACTTTTACAAACGATAGTATGAGTACGATAGAACTGTCAAAAGTACTTGATAAGGTAGTGAAGCAAGGCGTCTTTCTTGGAGTATTTGCTAGTGACCAACTTTCTAAGTCAGTTATTAAAAAGAGACCCGCCATGTTGGTGGTAAACACAGACCCCTCACACCTGGGAGGACAACACTGGGTCGCTATCTATAGTGACAAGAAGGGTGTGGGATCATTCTTTGACAGTTTTGGGAACTCTC